TCCCAGATCTAGGAGCTGGGGGTGTATTTATTCCCCATATGGGATGAGTGAAGCTGATGTGAGTAGAGAGCTGTGTCCAAACACGGATGCCCAGCGGCCTGATGTGCAGAGCTGGCTGAGCCATGGGGAGGGTTGGATGCCCTGTGGCTTTCCCAAGCGTTCCTTCAGCCTCTCTCAGTTTCTCCCTTGTCTTTAGTTGTGCTCTGGTGCTCTGCTTCTCACCACCCTCTCACTAAACCACAGCACCTTCTGCCCCTAAAGGGTCTGAGACGTGGGAGCATCTCCCTCCCCTTGTGGTGCAGCAGGGATGGATGTGTAGGGAGTGACTGAGCCTTCTCTTGCAGGACAGACAGCTCCTTCAGCTTCATGGCCTTCTTCTTCACTTTCATGGCCCAGCTGGTGATCAGCATTATCCAGGCGGTGGGAATTCCTGGCTGGGGTGTCTGGTAAGGAAGGTGCTGCTCTTGCATTGGATGCAAGGAGGGGAGACCTTATAACACTCTTTCAGTACCTAAAGGGGGCTACAAGAAACCTGGAGAGGGGCTTGGGACAAGGGATGTAGGGACAGGCCAAGGGGAATGGCTTGAACCTGCCAGAGGGGAGACTGAGATGAGCTCTTAGGCAGAAGCTCTTCCCTGGGAGGGTGCTGAGGCGCTGGCACAGGGTGCCCAGAGAAGCTGTGGCTGCCCCATCCCTGGCAGTGTTCAAGGCCAGGTTGGACACAGGGGCTTGGAGCAAGCTGCTCTAGGGGAAGGTGTCCCTGCCCGTGGCAAGGGTTGGAGCTGGATGAGCTTTAAGGTCCCTTCTAACCCAAACCAATCTGGGACTCTATAAATCACCATTGCACAGGTGCTGTGTCCTCCTGGTGTGTTTTTAGCACCCTTGGTGCCCAAGTGGCTTCTTGGGTGGGTGCTGTGAGGAGCAGCAGGGGGATGCTGGCAGCTGGGGAGGCCCACACTGCTGAGCATTCCAGTTGTTTTGCTCTCCTTGCAGTGGCTGGATTGCAGCGATTTCCTTCTTTGGGACCAACGTGGGCTCAGCTGTGGTGATGCTCATTCCCACTGTGCTGTTCACGGGGATGGCTGTCTTCTCCTTCATCGCCCTCACTATGGTACGGAGGCGCTGCAGCACATCGGGGCTCCCTTGCTGCCCCCCTGGCCGGCTGGGGGGAGCTGCAGTCCCTCAATCCCTGTGGATTCTCTCTTCCCAGGTGCATAAATTCTACCGGGGGAGCGGCGGGAGCTTCAGCAAAGCCCAGGAGGAGTGGACCACTGGGGCATGGAAGAACCCCCACGTGCAGCAGGCAGCGCAGAATGCTGCCATGGGCGCAGCGCAGGGGGCCATGATGCAGCACGAGACGCAGTACTCGGCCACCCCCAACTACACCTACTCCAACGAGATGTGAGCAGCAGGACTCTGTCCTCAGGCACCAGATCTTGGGGAGAAATTGAGGAGGAGGAGGAGGAAGGCTGAGCTGGATTTCTGCAGCTATTCCAGAAAGCTGGAGTGTACCATAACGGTTCTTTTCCTATTCTTTGTAACGAGATCATTTGGGATTTGTTTTCTTCTTCTTTTTCCTCCCCGTTACTGTCTGGAGCTTTTGTTTTCTCCTCTCCTTTCCCTTTCATTTTGAAGAGGCTGTGAGCTGACCCGCAGGGCTCTTGGTGTGTGTGTGTGTGTGTGTGTGTGTGGTAGTTACATGTACGTTCACGTGTCTTCCTTTTCCCTGTGAACTAGTGTATGGTGGTGGTTTTTAATTCCTGTGGTGATAGGTGTACGTTAGAACTCCATCAGCCAAAAGCCCCCACTCCTAAAAGGGAAAGATACAAATGGCAACCAGCACCCATTTTCCCTCTTGGAATAAGCCCTGAGGCGCAGGTTTCTGATGTGTGTGTTTTCTCTTTGAGTTGGTAGCACCCAGCCACTCACCACTGTCTCAGCAAGGACAAGCCATCCCGGGAATTCACCTTTTTCCCTTGATTTTTAACCAGAAGGTGGCTGGCTGGGTTAGTATTAACCAAGAAAAAGAGGGGATAAGGCAGAAAAGAACCCCTCCATCCTGCTGTTGATATGCTGGAAGTCGAGAGATTCCTACCCTACACCCTGGCTCAGGATCTACAACTTCTCTCCGTGTGTGGTGGTGTAAATGAGTAGCTTCCATCCAGTATTTGTGTGTGTCCGTGGGCAGGAGCCCCGGTGTGCTGTGTGTGTGTGCATGTGCTGGGGAGTGAGGACAGGTTTTTCCTTGTGGGGTACAACCTTTCCATTCCAGATTCTGCCTCCTGAGGCTGGTTTGTAAAGGCTTCTTGAAAAGCAGCTATAGAACAGGCAGTGTTTCTCAGAGGAGCTGTTCTTGGGGACTGCTCTGGGTCACATCAAGCACATACCACCTGTGTACTGTGTAAATAGCGAGGCCAGGATTTGTCCCTCTTAGCTGTTGAGGTGTGCAGGAGCGTACGGAAACCTCCAAGCTGCTGGAGAAGGATTCCTGCTCACTTGAGCTTCTGGTGTGGAAATCCCTGCTCCTCTCAGCCCCCAATCCATGCCCAGGTGGGGGTTAGTTTGGGCTTTAAATAATGATGTGGCACCTCAGCAGAGGCAGCTGAGCTCAGACCAACACCTCCTGGGCTGTCAAGGGGAGCTAATGGATGCTGCTGGACCAGGAGCAGGGAAAGCTCCTTCTCAGAGATGCTTTTCAGACTCTAAATGCACTTTAAATATGCCAAATTTCTCTCCAAGTCCTAGGAAAGCAGCCCAAACTGAATCCCAAGCCGAGCTCCCCTCTTAAGGATGTCACTTCAGTCATTCTGCAGTGGACAGTGGTCTCCTGATAAGACTAAACTGCAGCTAACAATAAATTGCCTGTCCGTGTGTGTGCGTGTGTATATACGTGTAAAACTTAAGGAGAAAAGTAATCCTTTGCTGAGCCTATTATGTACTTAATCAGGTTTAAATATTGTGCAATTCATTTCTAGCTAGCCGAAAACTGACTATGCCAAACCATGTGCTCTGTCATCCATGTCTTGAGAAGTGATGCAATGAAAGTGACTTCACCTTTTGCATTGATGATAACTGTACCGAGCTGTAACTAACAGACATTGCTTCAGCACCTAACCCTCCTCTCCGCTCTGTCTCCTCAACCTGCGGCCACCAGCGCTCCAGCCCCCTGCCCTGCCATGGGGCTGGGCTGGACACCAGACCCCTGCACCCTTATTCTTCACCTGGGTTGGGATCCCAGCACCGCGGGTGGGAGAGCTGATGTGCAGGTGCTTTGGCAGATGCAGGGTTTCACTGAGGTCTCCCCATTGCTTTCTGCAGAGCTCTCTGCCTCTTTGCCTTCTTCCTGGTGCTTATTTGCACCTGACAAATGCGGCTTTTAAGCTGTGTGCGGAAGGGTGGGGGACCACCCCAGATGTGCCTGCCCCTGCTTGACAAGGAATGGGCAGCCCTTTAACGTGCTTCCCCCCCCGTGTGTGTGCCTCCCGCATGGAAGGGCTCCCATCGCCGGGTGCTGCCCGCTGCTGCTTGCGGGGACCGAGAGCCGCTCATGGCGCGGTGCCCCTCGCTCCGTCCTCTCACACGCAATGACCTTCCTGCTGTCCTCCGCCACCTCTAACCCCCTAAGCGGGCTACGCTCCTCCTCACACAGCCTTTGAGGGGCTGCCTCCCTCCGGCCCTTGCACAGTGTCCCTGCGCTGCGGAGCGGGCGGTACCGGGCTGCTATGGGGCACCAGCACCGCGGTGCAAGGCCCAAAGGCCCCCACCGCAGCGGGACGAACGGGACGGTACCGGGCGCCGCCGCCGCCGCCATGACACCGCCTCAGGCCCGCCCCCTTCCCTCCACAACCAATCAGGGTTTCCCAGCGTGCCCTTCGGCTTCCGGGGCCGGCCCGCGTTGCCGGGCAACGGCGGGGGTGAGGCGGAGGCGCGGAGTAGGCCGCGGCGGGCACCAGGGCCTGAGCACCGTTGCCGGTATATAACCGGTGTTTGGAACCCACCGGGGTTCCTCGGGTCTGCCCTGTGCCTCAGCCGCCGTTTGCAGCATCACCGCGGCGTTAAACGGCACATAGCGTACCTCTGATGGCTCCTTACCGATAGCCCGGCGCTGTGCTCAGGCGGGAGGCAGGCCCTGCCCGGCCTGCTCTGGTTTTACCACTAATAACCCTTATTGTAAGCTGCCTATTAATAAATTACATCTTATTCCCCAGGCTTTAAAGTGTGGGTGCGTCGGTGCATAATTGTCCATCAGTAATCCCACGGGAAGCGGGTGTTTTCCTTACTGGGACGGTGTTAACTTGGTTTTAATCAGCCGTAGATGACCACACGGAGCAGCTCTGGAGTCGCCCTGCCGATGCACTCGCTGCGGTTCCTCGCCTCTAATTGCTGTTGCTAATCAGTGCCTGGGAGCTCCAGCTGAAGGCCTGCTCTTACCCTGGTAATTCCTTTTATAACCACGCTGAGGAACGTTTAAACTCATTAATTCCAAGCGGAGCATGGAAAAGGAGCACGTGTCAGTGCTGCCGCGCTGGGTGGGTGGGTGCCAGAAGGGTGTTTGTGCTTGCCTTGATGTCAGGGGCAGAGGTTTGGGTCCTGAATTGAACCCGGGAGGGGATGGGAGGGTTGGTTTGTGTCGCTCAGTTCGGTGATGAAAACAAGGGCAGCACCAATGTCTCTTTATTCCAACCCAAAATGCTTTGAAGAGCACTCAAATGGACCAAGGGTTACTGAATCCCAGTCTTTGCCAGGAAAGCGCTTTCAGCTGCTTCAAGGACTGAATTTCCTCTCTGCTAATGGCTAGTGAGGCAGAACCTTTTGCATCAGTTCTGCTCAGGAGCACTCCTCCTCACCTGAGCACTCACTGGGGATTTATCAGTGTGGCAGCCCCAGATTCTGCATTATTAAAAAACTTCCCTGCAGTTGTTGCTCACCCGAGATTGTGAAGGGAGGCTGCCTCTAATGGGAGCTGTCTTCTTCCCCACAAGCTGCATGTATTGGGAATTCTGAACCACATTCAACACATGAAAGTGTATCTTTTGTTCTGGGAGTTTTCAGAATGCTTTTGAGGTCTGTCTTGTGTGGGGTTTAGCCTTGTGTTTACCAGTATCTGAGAGACTTAAACAGGAGGAGGAGGCTTCAGCTATGCTTAAAGCTCTGCTGGTGCTTGGAAGCTTTGTGGATGAGGGTCTGAGTGTTCATCTTCAGGCTGAGTTACTCCAGGTCCTGCTTAGTCCACACAAGTGCTTGCCAACGGAGCCCTGTTGTGCTTCGTTAGTCAGTGTCTTGGTTCTCCTGTGCTTGCAGAGTTTGATGGGAACATGGAGCCTTCTTCCCCACCAGACCCAGGGAGTCCTGCAGGGAGGAGCTCCTCTGTGCCACAGAGAAACTACCGCGTCCTGGTGGGTGTGACTGGGAGTGTGGCTGCCCTCAAGCTGCCCCTTCTCATTGCTGAGTTGCTGAAGATCACTGAGGTGAGTAAAGCTGTTGGCAGAGCATTTTAAAGTTGGTGTTGTCCTGTTGCTGTTCTTGAGGGAGGGATTGTGTGGCTTCTGATGGAATGGAAGGTTCCTTCTGGCTTTGAGCCCTCTGAAATTGTGTTGTGGGAGGATTCCTCCTGGGTTTAAAAATCAATCAATTTCCTCTCATTTCATACTTCTACACTTAGCTTCACATTAGGCTTAAAGCGCCTATTCCAGGGTATTTCCGTAGGCAAACATTTGGATTCTGGACTATGAAAGTGTTATTTTTCAGCTCAGCCTAACTCTCTGAAGTGATTGAATAGGTCCTTGCTTTGGTGGGGTTTTTTGGTGGAATATGTCTTTGTCAGCCAAATTATCAGCTCTGGCCACAGCCGCAGGTGATAGTTTCTGGAATGGGAAATCTCTGGTTAGGATACTGCAATTCTCTGTAGGTGAGGTGTGGACTTTGCAAAGGTGCTGAGCAGCAAAGGGCAACTGCATCTTGTAAAGGCAGAAGTAACAATGTGCTGTATGTGCCCATGCACTTGGTTTTTACTAAGGGTTTGTTGTCTGGAGTAACAGAGGTGTCCAGCAGAGGCCAGTAGTGACTGGAATCAGGGAGGGAAACGTGTGAACTTTTCGCTGTAGACTAAAGTCAGAGAAAAACTTGGAAAACCTTTGGCTTTTAAGAAGAGGAGCAAATGATTTTGGAGCAGTAGAAGAGTGGCAGAAACACAACAGTGCACTTAAATATGCAGATATTGGTTAGATTGCTCAGTGAATCTCCTTTAGAATGATATGGGCAGCTTTGTCTTGTAGATACACTATCAGAGTCAGAAGAGTTGTGATCCTTGAGTAACTCTGATGCATCTGGTTGGTGTTGGCTTGGAGAGCTGTTGGTGTCCAAGCTTTAAGGGTACTAAGGATGCAGGGAGCTTTTGGGCTGGCATGGTGGGTTGGAGAGAGGGGCCTCAGTTAATTTATTACTTGACCTGAAGTGATTAGTGAGGCCAAAGGTTATAGCCTAAAGGAAGAGTGCCACAGACAGCTGCTCCCAGGGAGCTCCTGGTAGTTCATTTATTAATTTAAATGATATATTTACTCACTTGTGCTGTGATTTCCAGGCCTGACCCAAGGCCTGCTGAACCACTGTGACTTTTCCATGCAGTTTGGTCTGTCTTGTACAAGTCAATTTCTTTACTGATGGAACAGAACTCTGAAAGGAAGCAGGGGAAGGTTTTGATACTGAAGGAGATGTGGCCGGAGGCTTGAAACTGGAGGGGTTACTTTAAGTTGCTGTTTTGGCTGGAGTGATCCTTGGTGAACAACTTGGCAGCATGGTTCTGCACTCATTAAACTTTCACAGCTCCTTGAGGGTGATAGTGGAGGTGACTCCATCTGACTGCCTTCTGTTTAACCTCTCTGAAGATGGAGGAAATTCAGACAGCAGCAGCTTCCACCTTTCAGGTTATTCCCCTTACACCTGGTGTTGTGGGGACACAGCCAAAAGGGTCTCCTCAGGATGCTGTGGGTAACTCATGGTTGTCCTACACTCACATGCTGATGATCTCAGGCTGGTGCCTGGAATTTCTGAGCAGCCTGGCAGGAATACAATGGCAAAAATGATGTTGGTTAGTTGTAAAGAAAGGCAACAGTGGGGGAAATGTGTTGCTATTGGAGCTACAGGCTCTCATGTGGACCTTGAGGTTTAAACCATTTCGTGGTGCTCCTGCCAGGTAACCTCTACACCAGCTTGTAAGTGCCATTTACCAGAGGAGCTCCTCATTCTCTTCAGCAGTTGTTCCTGAAGCTCAGTCTGTAAAGATTTTGTTGTCAAAACTGAGAAGTCTATGGAGGAAAAACCCTGCACAGCCCTTTACCCCACACAGAAACATCTGTGACAGGAGGATCCTCTACCAGCAACCAGCAAAACTGGGTGAGCACAGGAGAATGCTTTTGCCATCAGGTTTGTTCTGGAGAATCAGCTTAAGTGCTCCAAGCAAATGAACTCTGACCAGTCTGAACTCTCTCCAGTAAAGTTGTTGGAGCATGGCTAGACTGGCTTTACTGTTTAAGCAGAGATATATCCACAGGCAAACAGAGGGTGTGCCAGGTAAATAGAAGGAAAAAGCTGTGGAGGCTTAAGTGAGCTTGAGAACACTGATCTCTTCCCAGCGTAACTGGAGGGACTTGAAGTTCTTTCTCAGAACAAGGGAACCAGGAGCCCACCCCAGCAGAAAACCTTCATTGGGGAGAATATTTAACTTAAGATAGCAACTTTCTTGGGAGAGTGGTGGAATTGCCACCACGTGAGGTCCTTGAGCATCACTCTGGTATGCTCTGGCTTGTGGGTTGGATGCTGAACTCCATAGCCCAATTCCCTGTTCCTGAGCTTATGCTTTGAAGACTGGAGATGGTTCTGAAATGATGTTTTTAAGAAAAACAAAGTGTCTTTGGGGTATTTTTCTGTCCTTTACCCTGAGAGGGGCATTTCTGGTCTAGATTTTGTCTAATGACACAACTGAAGTGATAAAATATGTGGTAGGTGGAGTTGTATCACCTGAAACTCCTTCTGTCTCACTGCAAAACAAGACTACCACTACCAAACATTCCTCCTGACAACTTCTAGCCCAAACCTGGCCTCCTGCTGCCATTTCAGAGAGCTGACATGCCCCTTAAAGCTGCACATTGCCCTTTAAAATCACTAGAGAACTAGCATCTTGCAGGCTGTGAGGTTAACACCTAGCTAGGCCTGCAGCGCGGCAGAGAGCAGCGTTAGCACCTCTGTGGGTGTCAGTGCTTGGCTCCAAAGAGTAGCTTCCTGTGAGCTGAGGTTAACATGGAAACCATACACTTGCTTGCTGTGAATGTGATCTTCACGCTCAGAAGCACTAGAAGTGCAGCTGTGGTTCCAAGTTAGGCTCACTTGAAGAAGAGCAGACATTTAGAAGAGGCAAAGAACCACATATAGCACTGTGTGCAGCTGTGTTTTCCCATCCTTTTCTCTTCAGGAAGTGGGGAAAATTACTGAAGCCTGTGATATGCTAAGGCTGGGATTTTCCAGCTGCTTCCAGCTGCTGTTCTAGTCACATAGGGTGCAGATAACCAACCCTGCTTCATTCCCAGTCAAATAGATGGTGTCGGGGAGATAGGTTAACATGTGTCGTTACTTCAACCATTGCTGCTGAAGATAGCTGGTTGGAGGGGTCTGGCACTGGGTTTTAGGACAAGTGAGCAGGCAGTGCTTTATCAGTTGTTTTCCTCAGGCCACAGGGTTTTAGTGGGAAGGAGTTTTGGTGAGGCTGCTTTCTCCCCATCTCTCTGCTGGGCCAATAGAACCACGTTGCACTGTGAACGGCTTGAAGGAGCAGGCAGTGGTTAAAACTGGCTAACAATAAGGAAAAGTGTTCTTTCTCACTGTTATCTGTGGCATCTCCCACATTACCAGTCTTTTCAGAGCTCTCCCTCCATGTGTTGGCCTGTCTCTTTTTGAAGGGGTACCCCTGGAGGAATTGCAGGTGGGTGTACAGTTGCATGTCCTGCACCATGGATGACCAGCACAAGCAGAACCACCCTAACACTGACCTGCTGTGTGCAGGGCAGCTCCAGTGGGCTGCATGGGGCAGGCAGCTGGCTGTGGCATTTGACTGTGACATTTGCCAGGGTGACAGCTTTGAGCAGGTCATGGGACACATAGAAATTGGGGAAACCCTCCTTTTTCCTCTTGTTGAGATTTCTACAGGAGGAAATGAAAGGATCTCCTGTCATAGAGCAACTTGGCACCTCCTAAGTGTGTGTCAAAAAAACTCCAAGGGATGTGATAGGGTTTCCCAGAATGGTTTGGGTTGAAGGAAGCTTAAAGCTCACCCAGTCCTAACCCCTGCCACGGGCAGGGACACCTTCCACTAGAGCAGCTTGCTCCAAGCCCCTGTGTCCAACCTGGCCTTGAACACTGCCAGGGATGGGGCAGCCACAGCTTCTCTGGGCACCCTGTGCCAGCGCCTCAGCACCCTCACAGGGAAGAGCTTCTACCTAAGAGCTCATCTCAGTCTCTCCTCGAGCAGGTTCAAGCCATTCCCCTTGGCCTGTCCCTACAGGCCCTTGTCCCAAGCCCCTCTCCAGGTTTCCTGCAGCCCCTTCAGGCACTGGAGCTGCTCTGAGGTCTCCCCTTCAGGAGCCTTCTCTTGTCCAGGCTGCCCCAGCCCAGCTCTCTCAGCCTGGCTCCAGAGCAGAGCTGCTCCAGCCCTCACAGCATCTCTCTGGTCTAATCTGGACTCATTCCAGCAGCTTCATGTTGGGCTTCTCATTGACCAACATCCCCAGGATATACCGTATAACTGAAGGTTCCACTGGCTTTCAGCAAAGGCAGGCAGGTTTATCCAGGGTTTCAGAGAAAACCTTCATACATTTTCACCCTTTTCTTGGCGGAAACCACTGCTTTACTGGTTTGGCTGCACAGAAACCATGTGCTGTGAACATACCTAGAGTTTCTCCTCTTTCCAGCATCTTACCTTGATAAGGGGGGATAGGAAGGCTGGAAGACACCGCTCTGACTTATTTGTGGTATTTTTATCCCTGGCTGGAGCAAGTCTAACTAACCTGGTTTTAAAAGGCAGGATCCAGTGATCTGTAGCTATCCCCGTGTCTGGCACCAGGAGATCATCATGAGAGGGACAGAAAGAGGTTCGCAGTGTGGTCCATGCGACCAAGAAGTGCTCCTCTGTCTCCCAAAGCCCCTCTTCCTTGTGAAGCCTTGCATGGCACCGGTGGGTTTGTTTTTGGTGCTGGTGCTGAGCCCCACTCACCTTCTTGTCCCTCAGCAGTTCTTTTGATCAGTCAGCACTGTGCTTGCTCTTGGCTCCAAGTATGGAAAGATGCAAGTGCCCTGTAGGCAATGCCACCCCTTGGCAGTCCTGTACACTGTGGTTATGGATCCCACTGAGGTGAGATGCTCTCCTACTCCCTTTGGCAGGCATGTTGGAGAGATTAAAGGGCATTTTTTCCCTGAGCTTTGGTTTGCTCCTTCTTGCTGCCTCTTTGAAGTTCTGTGCAGAGTGCACCTCATTCAGACCTGCTCTGGCCTCTCTGCTGTCCCTGCTGGGAACTGGCCATGTGAACACATAAACTGGCTCAACATGAGCTGGCCTGAGCATTTTAGGGGGCTTTAAAATGAGTCTTTGGCTCCCATAAATACCTGTAGTGGCCTTTCAGCTGTGAACAGGGGAAGCTCCCCTGAGAAACTGCTTTGTGGCTCGAGCCCAGCTTGACAGGGTTGTCCTGAAGTCTAACCGCTGGTCTGTCTCTCTTTTCTGATCAGCTCGAAGTGAAGGTGGTCACCACTGAGAGAGCAAAGCATTTCTACAACGTCCAGGAGATTCCTGTCACCCTCTACAGCGATGAAGATGAATGGAAGGTGAGTTGTGCTTCCATGGGAGACTGCAAAGGCTTCCGTCCCATCCCCAGCAGCCACAGGTTTTGTAATTCAAGTAGCTTTGTCATGCCTTCTGCTTCCAGAGGGCCGGTGGGGTCATGCTTCAGGAAAAAAAGCAGGCTCCTGGGAGATTCACTTGTTCAAGTGCTGAACAGCAAATAGAAGTGCTTCATTGCAAGAGACCACATCTGTTTGTGCTTTAATCCTCGGCCAAGACTTGTTTCTTTGGAGCATTGTGTGCAGTTCTGGTGTCCTCAGCATAAGAAGGACATGGAGCCGTTGGAGCAAGTCCAGAGGAGGCCATGAGGATGCTCAGGGGCTGGAGCAGCTCCTGTATGGAGCCAGGCTGAGAATACTGGGGCTGTTCAGCCTGGAGAAGAGAAGCTGTGTGGAGACCTCAGAGCAGCTTCCAGTGTCTGAAGGGGACTACAAGGATTCTGGAGAGGGACTCTTCATTAGGGACTGTAGCGATAGGACAAGGGGTGATGGGTTCAAACTGAAAAAGGGGAAGTTCAAGTTAGATCTAAGGCAGAAGTTCTTCCCTGTGAGGGTGCTGAGGTGCTGGCACAGGGCGCCCAGAGAAGCTGTGGCTGCCCCATCCTTGGCAGTGTTCAAGGCCAGGTTGGACACAGGGGCTTGGAGCAAGCTGCTCTAGTGCAAGATGTCCCTGCCCGTGGCAGGGGTTGGAACTGGATGAACATTAAGGTCCCTTCCAACCCAAACCATTCTATGGTTCTAGTCATGTATGCTTTGGAATCTGGCTTTCCAAGAACATGGTTCCAACCACACTGTAAATGAGGAAGGACAGGCTGCCCTGGCAGGGCTGCAGCAGGTGGTGAGGGTGGCAGTGGTGTCTCACCACCCTGGGCTCAGCCACTATCCACAGGTCTAAGAGGAGTCTCAGGAAGTGTCAAGAAAGCCACTGCAGAGTCGTGGTGAGGGTGTTTGGGACTTGTCATGAGTCACACTTGTCCCAAAAGCAAGAGCTTAATTCTTTTTAGCACTAAGTATTGGCTCTACAGACATCAGTGGTGTTCCCCAGCTGCCCACACTGCTTTGAAACATCTGGTGTGGGGCTGGGAGGCTGCCTGCTGGCAGGGAGGAGCAGACCAGCTCCTGGAGGTGCCGTGCGCTGATGGGATAAGTGGCTGGAGGTTAGAGAGGTTCTCCTTCCTGCTGGAAGCACTGTTTGCCTTGGAAGTCTGTGCTCTGTGCTCATGTGCGTACATAGAAGAGCCATTCCAGCAAAGGATGGCTCAGTTGCCAGGGCTGTGGACATCTCTAGACCCTGTAAAATGGCTTTTTCTCTTCACTACAGCTTTGCTGACATGCTTTGAGAGTTCCTGTGTGTGTGGAGGCTCATTGTATAAACATCAGCATTTGTATATATATATATATATGTGGCAGTCCTGAGCCAAGTACAAGGAGGAGCTGGAAACGGTGTCAGGAAGCACCAGCTTTCTGGAGGCTGGCTTTTTGTTATGATTTCCAGTGACTTAGAGAAGGAACAGCTTGTGGCCCTGATGCACCTCTTCTGGCCTGTGGTTGTATGTGTCCTCTGGGGATTAAGCACCTGTTGCTGCTTCTGTTGGTGCTTTCCCACATAAGTTCCCAGTTAACTGTGCTCTTACAAAGAGACCAGGACTCTTTTGAGCAGCTCAGCTTTAGAGTTTAGAGCCAGTTGAGGAGGGAAGTGCCCTGTTGGCCTAACCTCATCCGTCCTGAAGAAAGCCAACAGGACTGTTTGCTGCTGTACTTAAGAGGATGCTGCTGTGAGTATGCATCCTAACTGGAAGGGACTTGTGGAATTAGGGATCTAGACCTCATAAAAGCCAGTGGACAGCTTCTCTTGAAAGAATCATGGAGCTTATAAACCACAAGGCTTCCTCAAGGAATGTGCCCCCAGTTTGGGCCTGCCTGGCTTCAGTTGCTGACAGGATGGAGCTCTTCCTTCCACTCAGATATGCTGCAAGTTGAGGGGGCTTTTGCAAACAAGAGTGAAGCTGAGGGGTGATGTGGGTGAGAAGTGAATGGGGAAAGCTCTTTCCTGTGAGTTGAAATCTGGGGTTGTCTGACGTGTGAATTGTCCCTGTAGGGGAAGGACATCTGTTTGTAGAGCTCCAAGCGCAGCAGTGCTGTCCCTTAGCTGTGATCCCTGAATGGGCAACATGGCCTTCAAACAAGTGGGCACTGGGTCCCTGGTTCTGCACACTCTCAGGTCTCAGTGTGAAAATAGGTTTCCATGGTGGTTACTATGGGATTGCTCAAGTGAGGGCTCAGTAACCTGCACCTTGTCTGCTCCCCAGCTGTGGAAGGCGCGCTCGGACCCTGTGCTGCACATTGAGCTCAGGCGCTGGGCTGACCTGATGCTCGTGGCACCTCTGGATGCAAACACGCTGGCAAAGCTTGCCAATGGCATCTGTGACAACCTGCTGGTGAGTAACAGTGAGTTCTCTCACCTCCCAGTGTTAGACTGCCTGACCTTTCTTTTCATGGAAACTTGTGCTTCTGCAGCAGCGAGATCAGCCACATTTGCATGTTCTGCTCCCACTTCATCTGCTCGTCTTGCTCTTCCTGCACTATGGCTCCTTCTCAAACAGTCATTCCTCCCTTCCCTTCTCTGCATCCCTTTCCAATCCTCACCTCAGTCTCTCTTCCATCAGTTCCCAGTCCCTGCTTTGTGCCTTTCCTGCTTTCGCTTTCATTTATTGCTCTTTCTACCCCCACCCTCTCTCTGCCATGCCTGTGCACACATGCACTCGCGCTTACTTTTGAGTTCCTCTCTGCATTTCTTAGATGTGATCTGAAAAGACACCTGTGAGATCTGATAAAACTATTGACTTCCTCCTCCCTTGCCTCCTCCCTCACCTAACTGCAGAGCACACCAAGTCAAACACACACTCACTCACCTTCCACTCGCAGCTAGAGGGCATTTTGCTTGTTCAGGCTTGTTTTTTTGGTATCAAAAGTGCTTAAAGGCTGATCAGAAAGTGCATTAAAAGAGACTGTGGGCCTCTCATGGCTGATAGGGACCTTCACCAGGGCTGAATGCTCTGTGTCCAGGCATTAGGTCTTCGTTAGGAGAGGTCATAAGCATTAACCACCATTAAGATGTGCCAAGAAGCTGCAGATGTTGCTGTGGTACATCACCCAGCGGTAATGCATGGAGGAAGATGCATTAGAGCTAGGAATGGAGGGCAGTGCATCACATCCAGAGAGCCCTGTGTGACCAACTTAGCTCTTCAGGTAAGAGGAAGCGCATGTAAATGCAGAGCAACAGCCCTGATTTGTATGAGTAGAGGGTCTGAGAGAAGCCAGGAGGAGCTGTGGGAGGGACAAGCAATATCTTGTCCTTCTGGGTCCCCTTGGTACTATAGATGCCATGGTGGTAGCAGAGGGAAGAGCTCAGGAAGGGTGTTAGGGATGCATGGCTTCCCAAACTCCTGCCAGTGTTTTCAGAGAGCCTTGTGGAGGGAAGAGGAAGCTCCTGCAGGTGCTGGTTGGCAAGTTAAAACAGATGCTGGCAGGATTCCCTGTGCTGGGAAAGGTTCAAATCACAGGACACAAGAAAGGATGGGCAGAGTTCTCCAAGTACTCTGTGATCTGAACAGAGACCCTGCACCGGGGCTGTTGCTACCTGGGAAGCTCCTTTTGCAGGATTTAAATGCCTCTGGGCCTAGAGAACCTGATGGACATTGCAGTATGGCAACCAGCATTCATCTTTTCAAGGTGATGCTTGGTTATCTGGGAGCTCTGTATTACAGAGGAGTCAGCTATGACTCGCTGTAGCACACAGGAGCTGCCAGCAGCTGCTGCCGCAGTCCACGTGTATTCTGGTATCCTCTGTACCCTGGAAGCAGCAGTGCTTCCCTTGGGAGGAGTTACACATCCAGCTGGCATAGCTTTGCCAGCGTGCTGTGTTTGGCTCCACAGCTCAAGTGTTGCCTGGGGATCTCCCTGTAGCTGGTATGGCCTGTGGCCACCCTTCAGCTCCCCTCAGCCCTCCAAATGGGCTGGCACATTGTGTGCCAGCTTGCTTTGCTCCAGCCATTGGGCTGTTTGCAGGATGGGATCTATCCTCTTTGAAGTCTCCCTTATCTTTCCTGCCTGTCAGAGCTGAGCTCTGCTGGAATGTGGTACAAATCAGCATCAGCCCCATGCATCTGCTTGTGGGTTACTACCTCTGCACTGACAGGTTGAGGCTTTTGGCCCTGTCATGACACCCAGGCTGGGAAAGCACTTCTGTGGTGCCGAGTGATGGGGGGGGGAATGGGGAAAGCCAAGCCATCCAGAGCTGACCCTCTCGGCTTCTCTTGCAGACCTGTGTGATCCGTGCCTGGGATCTGAGCAAACCTCTGCTCTTCTGCCCAGCAATGAACACAGCCATGTGGGAGCATCCCATCACAGCACGGCACGTGGAGCAGCTGAAAGGCTTTGGCTACACGGAGATCCCCTGTGTGGTGAAGAAACTAGTGTGTGGAGATGAAGGTCAGTCCCTTTGCCAGCCTTCTGGCTCTTTCTTCCCTGCACAAGTGCATTCTTTTGTCATGTGGTGCTCCCCATGTTGAGCTGCAAGGAGCAGATGCTCACTGCTGGGGTTGACACAAACAAACTGAAGCTTTCCCCTGTGCTGGCTGGTATCTGTCATCCTCATCCATTAATTTTTAAGTAGTCTTAAGAGGTCATCCAAGCCAGGCTTTCAAATGAGCTGTGAGATAGGCCTGAGATTCCAAAGAAACACTCATTCAAGTAGAGAGGAGATGGAAGCAGAAGGAATGCTTTGTGGTGAGTGTTGTCAGCCTGGGATTTGGGTATCCTGACTTCTAATGTGACTACAACAAGCACTTTGCAGTCCTGGCCGAGGGTGTCGCTGAATGTGCATGTCACATCTGTTGGTGTTTGTTGCCTGGGTTACTCTTCAGCTTCCCAGATGAGTTTTGATTTGGGGTTTTGACATCAGATTTGTCTGTGAAGTGAAAGAGGGTGGGGAGGGAGTGTTGTCACACCCGCTTTCAAAAGGCTTCACTTGCAGTGCTAAGAAATACCACTGAAATGATCTCATCTGTGTTTTAGAAGCTGCTTTAACTGGAGGTATTTTGACTTTGGGGGGGGGTTGAGGAGGGTTTTTCATGCAAGCAATTTGGCCAGATTGGAAAATATCACCCAGTTCTAGCCCATAACAGCAAATATGCACTTACCTGTGCAGTAATGGACTCATACTTTTGGTTAGCAACCTCAACTCATGCAGGATTTTAACAGCTCTGTTCAATAAACAGGCTGTAGCAGAGACAGGGTGTTAAAATGCTCTTCACAGTTCAACCCTAGGGCTGGCTTTAGTTCCTGAACTCTTAAGTGGTTGCAATGCTTCTAGAGGGTGGTTTTGGAGCAAGACACTAAGAAATAGTTACACTGGGGTGACTATAGTCAAGTAACTCAGGAACCATTGAAATACCCTGGACATTTATGCTTCTGTTGGGGTTTTAGCCCTGATGACATCAAATTCCTGACACACTTGTAATGATGTTAAGGGAAGCTGCCCAAAAGAGGTTATCCTGTGCAGATGTTTTGGCAGAAGCAGGAAGAGCATCTGGCATCACTTTGTCCTTTCTTTCTTCCCTTCATCCTTTTCAGTACACATGTAGGATCTCCATCCCCATAGCAAGCAGCTGAGTGCCTCCTCATTGGTACTGTGCTGCTGCTTGCAGGTTCATGCACCTGAGGCAGAGCTGTGGTGTTACATCCCTACTCCACAGATGAAATGGGTGCAGTTTTGCATCCCTGAGCCTCCACTTGTGTTTGTGAGTCAATTCCCACCAAGATTTTCCTGTAGGCAGGATTTTCCTGTAGGAAAATGCTGGTGAAGCAGTTGTTGTCCTGCTTTAAGCCCAGCCAGCAGCTCAGCCCCATGCAGCCACTCACTTCCTTCCCCTCAGTGGGATGGAGAGAGAGATTCAGAAGGGTAAAAGGGAGAAAACTTGAGAGAAAACCAGTTTAATAATGGAAATAAAAGAATAAACTGTGATGAAAAGGAAAGTAAGAGAGAAATAAACCCCAGAAAGCCAAGTGATGCAAATGAAATCACTTACAAGTGATGTCATATGGCATATAGAATAGCCCTTGGGTCAGCTGTCTGGCCCTGTCCCCTCCCAAGTCCTTGTGCCCTCTCCCTGGTGGGGTGGGGTGAGGACCAGCAAAGGCCTCAACTGTGTAAGTGCTGCTCAGCAAGAAGGAAAACATCCCAGTGTTCCTAACGCTATTTCCAGCCCAAATCCAACCAACAGCCCCATTGGAGCTAATCCGAAGTAAATGAACTCCATCCAGCACAGCAGTGATGGACTCCAGGTCTCTTTAAGACCCAAGACACTCTCCACCACTGCCTTTTTCCTCTCATCCCCTCTGTTTCAGGCCGTTCACCCCAAAGCCTCTTCCTCTCTAGTAATTGAATGTGGGTTTCATCCACAAAGCTTCACCCGAGCAGCAGGTAACAAAGTTCTCACAGCTGCTGCTGAAGGAAAGAGATTCAGTTTGCCCCAGTTCTGTCTGTTGACGCTGCGGTTTGGCTTGCTGCAGAAGAGGATTAGGTCCTCACTCATGTGGCTGGTCTCACCTGAAGTGGGCCAGATCCTAAAAGAGTTCAAATCATCAGTTAAATTGAGTTGACAACTAAACTGTTTCCTTGGCTGGGTAGTTAAATGCTATCTTTATATCACAATAGAAAGGGAGCTCTGGGAGGTGCCATCCCACCCATGGGCCTGCAGCGATTCCCCTTGGCAAAAGCATTGCCAGACTGCTGGGATCTTCCTCACTCTTGGCTGCATTTCTAGAGCCAGACACACTGGAAGGTTTTGACCTGTAGGCATGAGCTGTGCTGCAAGACAGGCTCTGCTCAACCTAAGAATCCAGCTGGGAATTGCCCAATTGTTGAGCAAGTGGGTGGTAGAGGACAAAGGCAGGTCTTGGGATTGTTCTCAGCTCTGCAGAGGCAGGCAGGGAATGTCTCGTGTTTAGCAGGACCGGGCAACTGCAGCTCCTCTCCTTGAGGTGAGGAGATCAGGAGGGCCCACATCTGCCTGCAGCTTGTCCACAGGATGCTCCAGACCTCCTGGGATGGGCAGGTCTGAAAGGCATTCACAGGCTTACACTGCAGGGAAACCCAATTTTCTTCTCCTTCCAAAAATACCATTCTTCACCACAAATCCTCAGGACAAGGGGTGATGGGTTCAAACTGAAGTAGGGGAAGTTCAGGTTAGATCTAAGGCAGAAGCTCTTCCCTGTGAGGGTGCTGAGGCGTTGGCACAGGGTGCCCAGAGAAGCTGTGGCTGCCCCATCCCTGGCAGTGCTCAAGGCCAGGTTGGACACAAGGGCTTGGAGCAAGCTGCTCTAGGGGAAGGGGTCCCTGCCCATGGCAGGGGTTCGAACTGGATGAGCTTTAAGGCCCCTTCCAACCCAAACCAGTCTGGGTTCTGTATCCAGCTACACCTTTGGTCCCAGACAAGTCTCAGGTGAGAAACTGATTGCTGCTGCCCAGTAAAGCACATATTTCCAGTGTTTAGAGCCAGCAGGACAGAAGATCAATAGAGATCCATCTCTTCAATGTTCCAATGGAGACAGATGCTAGTGGGAGAAGTATCCTTCCTCAGCCCCAGGGGAATTGCGGGAGTGAATGGCCTGAGCGCGGAGTTCAGTACAGAGGCTTGGACACCATGATTTAATGCTCTCTGGCCTTAAACTTCTAAACCTAAGTTTAAAAAGACTTTCAGATGTTCATCTGGCACCAAGCCAGTCCATTTCCCCCCACATTAGAGAAAGCTGTTCTGGATCTGCACCAGCTTGAATCCTGGGAGTAATGCTTGGAGATGACCGAGTGCTGCACAGAACAAAATGTAAAAGCTTTTTTCCTTCTGGACTGGGTTGGTGCCAGATGAGTATCTGAAAGTCTGCTCTTCCTAGGCAAAGGCCGTTTCAGAAAGCTCCTGAGCATGCACACACAGTTTATTGTGAAGAAAGGAGGTGGAACAGAGGATTTGCTATTTTTGGGGTGCTTTTGCACGTTTGCCCCCGGGGTGGTGTGAGCTGAGATTGTAACTCCGTGTGCAGTCAAGGGTTAGATGCAGGCTCCTCTGGGGATGATTGGGAAGATGAGGTGCTTCAGAAGGTCATCTGAGTTGCCTGTTGAGGTTTCCTGCCTCTCTCCATTGACTGCAGAGCTTGTGCTTCTGCCTGGACTTCTGAGTTACGAACCAGACTTGTAAGACTCTTCTCACTCTCCTCCCTTGCTGATGTCCCCCCGTGCCATAGAACCCCTGCAGAACTGGGGGTTCCTTTCTCTTGGGTCATAAGGAAACAACGTGGGGATGCCTGGTGAGCTCTGCTGACCTGTGCCACTGCGGTGCAGCTCATCTTCTGCAGTCATGCAGTGTGTGGAACAGAGAGGTGGTGGGACAGGGGAAGCACATGCCTCATGTCTCTGTGGATCTGGATTTCACAGTATCCCAGAATGGTTTGGGTTGAAGGAAGCTTAAAGCTCATCCAGTTCCCACCCCCTGCCACAGGCAGGGACACCTTCCACTAGAGCAGCTTGCTCCAAGCCCCTGTGTCCAACCTGGCCTTGAGCACTGCCAGGGATGGGGCAGCCACAGCTTCTCTGGGCACCCTGTGCCAGCGCCTCAGCACCCTCCCAGGGAAGAGCTTCTGCCTAAGAGCTCATCTCAGTCTCCCCTCAGGCAGGTTAAAGCCATTCCCCTTGGCCTGTCCCTACATCCCTTGTCCCAAGCCCCTCTCCAGGTTTCCTGCAGCCCCTTCAGGCACTGGAGCTGCTCTGAGGTCTCCCCTTCAGGAGCCTTCTCTTGTCCAGGCTGCCCCAGCCCAGCTCTCTCAGCCTGGCTCCAGAGCAGAGCTGCTCCAGCTCTCGCAGCATCTCCGTGGCCTCCTCTGGTCTCACCCCAGCAGCTCCACGTCCCTCTTGTGTTGGGATTTCACTGTGTGTGGTTTGCTGTTCCCCTGCAGGTCGCGGTGCCATGGCAGAGGTGTGGACCATTGTGGAGAGCGTGAAGAGGATCCTGGAGGAGCGGGGCTTGCCAGCACAGAGCTGATGTTTGGCACATTCATTGTGTTTGGTGCCTCCCTAATGATTTGAAGATAAAACCAAGTGCTCTGCAACCAAAGAACTGAAACAGTTGCTTCCAGCTGGTGCCAGCCTCAAATGTGGTTCAGTGCTGCAGACTCTCAGAAACCAAAGCCAAGGACATGCTGCTTTAGTATGGGAAAGCCCTGTGGTATCTCACAGAGATGGAGCAACGTTCTGCCTGGCCACTCACCTCGTGTCTCACGTTTCCTTCCTGAGGAGGCTGCAGAAGGAATTGCTGATGTATTTCAGTGGTTTCCCCCAAGAGCTGCTGGAGAGAAAGTGCAGTGCAAGCCCTGGCCATGGGGATAGTGCTGGCCCCTGCATGGGGATATCACTGCTCTCCAAAGCCTGGGTTGTAGTTGTGTTGGCTTCACCTTTCCAGCAGGAGTCACTGTCCAAAAGGCATTTCATAGGCTCGTAGAATCACAGAATGGTTTGGTTTGGAAAGGACCTTAAAATCATCCCGCTCCAACCCCTTTTTGGGACTTAATAAATGAGAGCTTTGCATTCTGCCCCTGGAGAATTGCCTCTTGTAGCTGCCCTGGGGGATGTTTGCACCTCACGTCATTGCTAAGCTGTTGTGTCTGCATGTGGTTCCTGTCAGACTTGGGAAAAATAGGCAGAAAGCAGCTTTTTAGTCCTCAGATCAGCTTTTGCTCTATTGTATCTGTTGTCTGGATGGGGCTGCAGACATCAACTGTGTACCAAAATGCCCATCTGAGTGCTCTAGTCAGGAAATGAACAGCCTGAGCCCTTGTGGAAAGCCAGGCTGGGTGTATCCCAAGGGAATGAAGTCAAACATTGCCTATGATGGTCTGTTTCAGCTTGAAAATTAACTGACTGGCATAAAAGCGACTGGGGCCAGAGCAGCCAGGGCTGCCCCATCCAGCTTTCCCTTGGCAATGGGAAGGAACGGGAGCAGACTGGGGCTGTGGGGCACGTTGCTGTGGCAGAGCACTGCCCCAGAGAGTTTATTTTTAACCAGTCCCAGGCAAATTTAAGGCCTTTGGTACAGAACGTGCATCCTGCCTGTGGGGGCAACCTTCAGCCTGCTGCACACCAGGGAGGAGGTTCTCGGGGTATGTTTGCTTTTCTTATCTATCCCACACCACACAAATAGCACTCTGGCTCCTCTACTGATAGATCCAGGGATCCAGAGCTTCTGGGGATTGAGACAGAGGGATCTTTGTTGGTTCTTCCAACCTCCAAAGAGCAGAGGTTGTGGCTCTCACAAAGGGCCGTGGTGGTAGCATGGCTGTGACCGTTGCCTTTGTGGTGTGACCTGCATCGTGTGCTGACGTCCTTAGCACTGTGAGAGCTCTCCTCCCTGTCAGAGCAGCTTACTTTCAGCTTATTGAAGGTAGTGGGAGACATGCTGCTTGGTTTCCATGGGGTTTGTAGTGAACTTTGTTTCTCCTACTCGGAGATATGCATGTTCTGGCAGTTGCAGCCCTAACTTGGCCTTGGGGCTAGGCTCTGCTGGGGCTGCCTCGTGGTTGGAGTTGCTTATCCTTCCTCCTAGTCTGTGCCCAGGATCCAGCAGTCCTGTTCCTCAGACCGACCCAAAACACCCTGTCCTTGGTAAGAGTCTTTATCTCCTGCAAGTCTGGGTCGCTGGCTGGAGCCAGCAGACGTTGGCAGGTGTCAGCTGGAGGGTGGCCAAGAAGGTGCCCAACGTGCCCTGCACTGTTTGAGCTCTGATAACTCAGCAGGAAAGGGGAACATTGTGGGTTTAGATCCAGGGCTGGGTTGCCTGGTCCCCCACAGAGCTGACACCAGGCTGATCTGTCAGGCAGAAAGCCACTGCTAAGGCTATAAAGTTGCCTCTCAAGCTTGTGGAGAGGCTGAAATTAAGACTTGCAAAGCACTCTCAGGTCTGTGAATAGAGGAAGCTGATTCTTTGTCCTGCAGAAGCAGATGCTAATTGTGCTGCTGAGTGATCCTTTGCATAACTGCTGTGATATGCATTGGAGGAAGGTCGGGATAACACTGGGATAAACCCATCCCTGAAGCACCTTTCCTTCAGGGCAAATAGAAGCAGCTGTTAGATCCTTTTTGGAAGGGCTAAAGCAAGGGCAGCTTCAACCAGAGCACATGCCTGCACCCAGGACACTGCTGCCTGCAGGAAAGCCCTGTCCCACTTGTTTGGCTTTGGGATGAGGCCTTTCAGGATGAAGGCTGGGGCAATGGGGGAAGGACCCGATTCAAAACCAGGGCTTGGGAAATGCCTCAGTGCCACCAAACCAGGGCAGCCAGGTCACCAAGAGGTGCTGGGTGACAAGTTCCTTGAGGCAGACCTGCTGACACCTCTCACCTTTGTGTGTTTCAGGTTCACAGGGGGGGCAGAAGATGCTGCCTTGGTGCTTTTGCTTTTCCTTCAGCTCTTTCTAAGCCACGCACGCACTGATCCTTCGTTTTGCTTTCCCATGAAGCTCTCTAAAGAGCAAGGCAGCATCCCCATGAGGCTGCCTTGCAATTGCATTCATGCTGCTCAAAACTTACTTTCAGCACTGGCTAAGGAGCGATAAAGGGCTGGGAGCAAAGCTGAGCTCAGGCAGCAGCCTTCCTTCTCCCTGCGCTTAGATCTGGGCTCCGGTGTGACTTGGAGCATCCATTTCTCATACCAAACTTGATGGGATGCTGCGGGGCTGGTTTGCATCTGGATGGCTCCGAATGTGGTGCTTTGCTTAAGAGTTGGCTCCCCAGGTGTCAAATCCCTCTGCTGTCAGTTGTGACAGGAGGTGCATCAGCCTGTGCCTTTGTCCTGCAGCAAGAGCAAAGGTCCATGAACAGACCATAGAATCCCAGACTGGTTTGGGTTGAAGGGACCTTAAAGCTCACCCAGTTCCAATCCCTGCCACGGGCAGGGACACCTTCCCCTAGAGCAGCTTGCTCCAAGCCCCTGTGTCCAACCTGGCCTTGAACACTGCCAGGGATGGGGCAGCCACAGCTTCTCTGGGCACCCTGTGCCAGCGCCTCAGCACCCTCCCAGGGAAGAGCTTCTGCCTAAGAGCTCATCTCAGTCTCCCCTCGAGCAGGTTCAAGCCATTCCCCTTGGCCTGTCCCTACATCCCTTGTCCCAAGCCCCTCTCCAGGTTTCCTGGAGCCCCTTCAGGCACTGGAGCTGCTCTGAGGTCTCCCCTTCAGGAGCCTTCTCTTGTCCAGGCTGCCCCAGCCCAGCTCTCTCAGCCTGGCTCCAGAGCAGAGCTGCTCCAGCCCTCGCAGCATCTCCATGGCCTCCTCTGGCCTCTCTCCAACAGCTCCACGTCCCTCTTGTGCTGCTGCCCCAGAGCTGGATCAGGACTGCAGGGGAGTCTCCCCAGAGCACAGCAGAGGGGCAGGATCCCCTCCCTGAGCTGCTGCTCACGCTCTAGGGGTGCAGCCCAGCACACGGGGGGGTTCTGGGCTCAAGCCCACACTGAGGCATGGTCACGCTGGGCTTCACCATCCCCAGTGCCCAGCCCTGCTTGGTGCTGCAGCTCTGCAGGGGCTCTGGATCTGACACCCAGCAGCAGCAGCAGCAGCTGGGTTCACACCTCCCGCTGGGCTGTGCTGCCAAGGTGCCAGGTGGCAGGAAGCGGGTTTGTGCTTAGCAGTGCCAGGGCCCGGGGGTGACGAGGCGGTGGTGGCACATGAGAGCACCGGGTGCTCCTGAGCCCCATGGAGCGATGGGCAGGTCGGGAAAGGGCTCTGGAGCAGGTGTAGGAAGCATCAATCCATTGGTGAAATTCCATGGTAAATGGGACAGTGATCTAACACAATCCCATGGCAGGGTTCACTTGGTTGATTGCTGTGTAGGGGATGGGGTCAGACAGACCCATTGAGTCACAGGGTTCAGGGAGGATCCCTTGCTTCCGAAATTCCTCAAAGGGGTGTTTAGATGCAGCTGGATCCACTCCTAATCCCGGACTTGCTCAATGGCTCATGTCTGAAGGAGCAGATACACATGCCAACCAATTCTTTGGCATACATTGGGCAGGATTTCAGGGCTGAGCGTACTAGTCACTGTCACAGAGGCCACAGAATTGCCTTTGGTAGATGACAAGCCCCAGAAGGAGTTTATTCTCATCAAAACTCATTGAATGGCAACAAGAATCTACTGCAGGTTGTAGGGGCCAGGAGGAATCCAACACTATGGGACTGACTCCGGGTTTGAAAGGGAATTGAATGGGTTTCACTCACCAGTCGAGCTCTCAACCTCAAGGAGGCCCAACCCAAGGGGAGAGCCCTTGTCATTTGTACCCCAGCCAAATCTGATCTGGAGGCACAAATACAGCCTGAGGGCTCTTTGCTCTCAACCAAGGTGTGGGTCCAGCAATGGGCAGTTATTGCCGTGACCAAAACCAGCCGGTTTGTGTAGAATCCCGGCCTGCTTTGGGTTGAAGGGACCTTAAATCCCATGTAGCTCCAACCCCTGCCACAGGCAGGGACACCTTCCACTAGAGCAGCTTGCTCCAAGCCCCTGTTTCCCACCTGGCCTTGAGCACTGCCAGGGATGCGGTTACCGGAGCCAGACCCAAGCCAGTGGATACCTGTGAGCCCTGCCCCATGTGTTCTGTACTTCAGGTACCAGAGCCAGCAGAGGGGTTTATTGGCAAGTGCTGTGGCTCAGCGGTGCTTCCGTGGGTGCAGGAGGTGGTCCCTCAATCTCAGGCTCCATCCAAGGCCACCCCATCACCCTGTGGCCAGGCCAGGGGGCTAAGGTTGAGCATGGGACAGAGGAGAAGTCACTGTAAAACCAATGGATGTGCTTTGCTGCCATTTGCATCCATTTCATCCCTTGGGAGAGGTTACCACGATAAGGCCAGTGCCAAAGGACCCGGCACAGACTCCTTGGCACCCACTACAGCGATAGCTTGGCTTCAGTGGTGACAGCCTTGCCGTTAGAGCTTGCAGGTGCACTGCTCTGGCCCTGGCCAGCAGCCTCGCTGCAGTTTGTTTTCAGGAGTAATTGAGCTTCATTAGGAGCTTGAATTCCAGCAGGAAGCCTGCTGAGAGTTCCTGTGCTTGTTGGGATGCAGAGGAATGAAGATGCTCAGAGATGCAGAGAAAGAATGGGATGGGGGCAGATCCCTGCGTGGGCTCACCCTGTTTGGGGTTTCCTGGTGGGATGTCGTGTTGTCCTTCACATGGAGACTGGGATTTGTGTCTCTGGCAGTCCTGGTTTTGTTGCACCTCACTTTTCCAGCTCTCTGGGCAGGGAGCAGAGGATGAAGGGGTCAGCACAAGCGGAAAGCCTTGGTGCAGGCCAGGGAGATGAGGAATAAAGGTGGATTTAAAAGAACCTAAGGCTGTAATCCGGGCACTTAAGATAAAATCAACCTGTTTCTGACCTCAGGCTCCTGGGCAATACACGGGGGTGGGCTGTGCCCTGGGGGCTGATGTAATCAGGCTCCACCGATGCTGGTTGCAGACACCTCAGCCTGAAAGTGCTCATAGCCCCTGCACCCATGCCCTGAAGCGTCTGTTAAGTTATCCATGGCCAGTGCCAGCCCGGGAGCATCCCAGGACCCGCTCATCCCTCTGGCCCCAGCCCTTTAGGTAGCCAGGAAATCCCCTCCATCCTCCCCGCAGCGCTGGGGCAGGCAGCATCCCTTCCCTCCAAGGGGAAGCAGGGTTCCTGGCCTTGGGGCAGGACCAAG